TATCCAAGGGTCTTCCTTTTGTTAATATTTCCCTGTCATTTTATCGATTAATTATTCGGGTGGTGACTTTATTTACGTACAGTTCCAAGGATATTCTCAGTATCAAATGTTTTCAGATTAAACTGAATTTCAGTGAAATTTTAACTATAAGCAAATTATTAAGTATAAAATGGGAAAAGACAATGGTCATTTTTCTTTATGTTTATTTCATACAGACTACACAGGCTACATATTTATCTTGCTTGTATGGGGGACATCTCAAAGCTCCACAGAAAGCACGAACGCCGTAAAATAATGCACCATTGTCGTTTGTGTCACCCCCTCCACTAAGAGGTTGTGCTTGCTCGTCTACACAGACATACTCTGATGCAGCGGGCTGATTGCTGTATCCTGATGCCAATGACCCACTGTACGCCCTCGTCCAGCCACTGTAACATGATGTCCTCGCCGGTATCATCACAGACGAGACAAAAGAGGTAGATCTACAGACAGCACATGGAGCCTCTTCGTCGTGTGAATCTGACCCAAACAGAGTGTGACCGGTATAAGATTCATATTCCGTCCCATAAATTTTCCCTGTGATAGTATTTGGTACAACTGTTGTGTTTAACCATTCTGGATCCGATGGCAGACAGAGATAGTTAGCTGCCGCTCCAGTGTCGGCATACCACGAACCTCCTGCATAACCTAGAAAGGCAAGAACGATATTTTCTGAAGATTATTATTCATCCCATTGCACCGAATCCCAACGATCTTATGCAACGTATAAACCCTTGGCATTAGAGTGCTCGAGTTGAAACTTAAATATTGGTTTGAGTGGCAGCGGTTAGGTCCGTCATAATTCTGACTTCAGGATATATAATTTTCAATAAACATTGTGCTGATAATAATTTGATTCTGGAATGTTTCATCTTCAATAACTGTGCAATAAATGTCTGAATTCCTTCCTATTTCCTGAAAGAATATTAAGATAGTCTCGTTAGAGATGATTCTAATCATGTTTTACAATGAAATGGACAGCACTCTGATTTATATCAGGACATTTTCCCCCATATGACCAAGGGACGGTATTTCAGCTGATGTTAGATTTTAAGAACGTTTGAACATACCGGAATATACGAGTTCAGTCAGTTTATCAGGGCAGTCACTTCGTCCCCAACGTATAAATGTCGCTCCTCCATTTCCTATTAACGAAAAATTATATTAACATAAAAAGGTAGACAATATGTTACCATAAAGAACAGCATAGCAAATTCTATGCCATGTAGCTTTAAAGTTGGAAAATCATACATAAGAGATATCATATTGCTTTGGTAATTACCTTTCTTGTCTTACATTATACCATAATTGTAAGAGCCATAATACTGATTATGATTTTGTCATGTCACGTGTCTTACCATATCCACATGTTTTGGGTTTTTCTTTATATTTATCAACATTTTATGAGAAGTCTACCCAGTAACGTCTTTTCAGCTGCCATGTTTTGAAAAGGCATTACTCACATTTGGAGACGCGATTTTATTATTTCAAATTTAGCCTGTCTCCAGCACCGATATGATTTATTTCAAGTTTTAACTTTATTTAAAGCATATCAAAGACAATTTCTTTACCAACACAAATAGTTATTGATAGGAAATTGAACAAAATCAAGTAGTACAGCCATGACACTGGGTTATACTTGTATTAAGGAGTAGTTTTCCATATTTTACCGGAAGTTGGGTCGCTATTAGCATCAAGAAAATACCAATATGTAAAAATAAAAATAATCCAAACTCCAATTCTGTATAACTAGGGCAAAATATAAAAAAGGAAGTTTTACACGGAGACTCATAAAAAAGTTCAAAGGTAATAAGACCAGGTGTTCCGGGAGAGTTAATGTGGTTTGCTTTATCGACGACACCTGTCATGTAAACCTTGAGCAATCGAGGAAGGTAATGTCACGTTCTTAAATGAGAACAAGGTGTACAATAACGGAACAAACATAAAAACTAACCGGCATCTCACATGTCCAGCTTCATGTTGCACAAAGAAATAGAATGCTTCTCAATGAATTCACTATGGTAACCATAGAACTTTCCACTGATTTTCATCAACCTGCATCTTTTAAAACTGTTTTACGTATTTGTTGCACGAAAATAGGGATAATGGGATCAGGCATTTGAATATCGAATCAACTGCGACCTGTAAACACCATAGGTTGGCGATACAGGAATATTGCTATCCAGAAATGTAATATTCACAAAAGGAAAATTGAAATCATCACGCTCATCAGAGAGCTTGGTGGAAAGCTGTCCATGATTGTTTCGTTGAAAGAAGTTAGAAATGGCATACAAAAATATTTAATCCAGAATGTTTCGTTGTAAACCGAGTTCTCCTTTTTGAGAACACGACATTTCTTTCATGGATCGATCAAAATTGATATAGTGGGTGCTGCCGATGACACAGAAGGCACATACCTAATCTTATTCTCCTGATGATGTTTTCGTAGTATCCATGTAATGTAAAACCAATATGGACTTTGTGTTAGGACTATGATTTTGTTTAATGTTTTTCAATGACACTAATGTTCTTAACATATACTCTGAACCTATTTTTTTTTACAAATCATGGTATAGATCAGGAATACATACGATTGCTGATCGTCTAAAGGATTCGGACAATATTTCTTTCTTATCATTTGAAGAACTTTCACAAAAATATCACTTGCGTACAAATTTTCTTCGAGTCAAAGGACTAATATATATGCAGTTCGCAAAAGTCTGCATGACCCTTTACCTTAAGATGTCCTCCCAACAGTTTACCCATTCCTTCCTCCGAATATACAGACTTTTCTACATAGTATAAATGATCCCAAATTCTTTTACAACATTTTTAACAAAACAGATACTGTAGCCACTGGTCAAATAAAATGGCAAGAACAAATCTTATTCTCTGAAGAGGAATGGTATAAATTACACAAAATTCCACATATAGTTAGGAAAAATACTAAACTTCAATGGCTTAAGTATCGCATATCTTATCATATCCTTACACAAACTCACAGTTATTCAAACTAGGTATAGTAGTTACTCCTATTTGCACGTTCTTTAACTCCGAAAGTGAAACGATAAGAATTCCAGGAAGTGCAAAATTTATTACAAAGGTTTGAAAATCTTTCAAATGCACATTATATTCCTTTTATAATAAATAAACACTCCTTCCTTTTCGGCATCACAAATAATACTAGTAATGCTAAAGTTGACAATATAAAAATTCTTATCATTAAACAGTTTATTTAAAGAACCAGATGTCTTTACAAAAAACTTTAAATATAGATGCATTGGCCAGTAGCATAAAAGATTATTACAACATACAGAAGTATCTATCAAATGCTCAAAACGATCTTGCAAAAGCAAAATTTACCAATACCTGGAGTAAGTGGAAAAAGTTCTTTCAACTTGATATTTAATAGTAAACACTAAAGCCTGACATTTTTGCCAAATATATATCTAAGGAGATTTTTTTGAGTTCTTTACACATCTCTCTTTAAAGATATTTTCCAAGTCTCAAGCTCTTTCTTACCTTGTGCTTTTATATATAAAAGAAATTTGCAATATCAACGTGGGTTGCAAACAAGCAAGTATAGAAATGAAATGAACTTAACATCTTTTCCTTTCACATTCTTTCTTTCTTTACTTTATCTTTTCTTGATGCAAATGTGTCTGTGTGAGTATTATGAGTGTAAAAAAATTAAAAAGAAGTAGTCTTACTTCAATAAGGATGTCAATAGGTGTGTGCATGTATGCAGGTGTGTGAGAGAGCGTGTATCTGTAAGTCAGAATCATAATGAAAATGCAGTGTTTCTTTATATACGTATGTATATGTTCAAAAATGATTCCAAAATAAAAAGATATTAAATATCAAAAAACATATACTCTATGGATTATTATTTATTCTGCTACAATCAATCTTTGGGCGCATCAGATAGACTGATAGATAACTAGGACTACGGTGGCAGTTAAAAATCTCGGCAAATTGACAAAGCGTTGTCGAAACATATATCATTTCATTGTGTTCGTTTCAGTTGTGTATCAGAGAAACCCGTGTCATTTTTATGGACAATGTATAGATTAATATCTATTTATACGAGCTTACCGATCGCACTTATCTAACATAATGATCAGGATGAAAACCATTCTTTTGATGATGATCTATCTAAAGGTAAATTTAACAAAGTTTAAATGACACAGAGGGCACGTTGTGCAGAGATCTAAATAGTTGACCACTCCGATGGTGAAGGTATTTACAACTTTGATATTCATGGACACCCATGAGGACATGACCTTGGAATACAGGAGCACGTGAATCTAAGCACGCACAAGATCATTTACATAGATATAGATATAAAGAATATACAATTAAATTACAAATAAAAAATTGAATTGCCCTTGGGATAAATCCTATTTTTGTGATATTGATATATAGTGGCAGTGAGGTCATTTTCGAATGAAAACTGGTATTTGTTAATAAATAACTGGTTTTCACTGGAAAGGTAATTCACTAAAAAAAGACGAAGGAAAAAATACCAATCGGAAGATTTGTTAATTTGGCTGTATGTCTCAACAAACTATATGCTTTGATATACCATTTGCATGTGTTCTGTCTCCCCTATTTGCTTATGTACTTATTTTCTCTTAAATGATTAACTATAATTTACAACAAGAAAATGAAATCGGCAAACCATGGTTTGAATCTGAGAGTTGCTGTTCCAGTTGAGTGATTTTTCCAGCCTGTGACTGTACCGTTGCCTGTAGAGTCTGAAGGTCTGCATTCTTTGTTTGGACCGTTGCCTGTAAAGTCTGTAGTTCTGATTGGAGGTGGGTTATTTGTTGTTGGACGTAGGCGGGATCGCTAATAAGTATCCTCTTGTCGATGTTGTCATTGCAACAAACAATTACTACTAACATATAAGTATTTAAGATAATAACTGGAAAACTGGCTGGAATGTGGACAGTAACCATTTTTCCGATCGAATTATCCCTCTCCTGCTCACAATATGGTGACAACTTAACCTGTATAGATTATCAGGACCTGACATGACATCTGTCCACTATCACTTCATAGGAGTGTAACTGCGATGCAAAATAGACTGAAATAGAGAGAGTGCTAAACAAATTATAAATGTTGCATAAGATTCAACGTAGTTTTGAAATTGACAGTTATAGGTGGATGTATGAAGCTCACAACACACACTACAAAAATAAAGCACTCTCCCATTATATTTACTTTGTTAACAGAAATAATATTTGTTTTTAAGGTTTGTTTGATATATATAGATATAATTAGTACTCATGTACTAAAGAACATTGAATGCTATGACTGGTTATCATTACGCACGTGGTACATTACATATGACGACATCTAGATGGAATTTAACTTTACTTGGTATGTTTTACTTTCCTTTTATAAATTTACATGGCATTTGTTTTTCCTTTTAGCTCATCTAGCCAGAAGTTTACAGCGTGAACGTTTACCTTGAACGACTTCTTTTGATTAATGAAATGGCATATTTTGGAATAGAGCCAAACGGTTTTTTTTAACTGACCTTGACCCATATTCAAGATAACAAGATAAATTCTTTCTCCATGTAAACGATTTCTGATGATTAACCAAAAGAACTAGAATGATGACATTTAGCAGGTAGGATTCGACTTTAAAGCCCGATATTTGAAAAGAAATGACCTTGACTCATACTTAAGGTCACAACTGTTAAAGTTATAAAACATTAAAAGGACTAAATGTATAAAATAATGATATTTAGATAGTAGGTCCCTGGGATAAAGCTCAACAAAGTTAGCAAAACAAATATAATCTGTGGTTTATTTTTAATCTTGCAAGGGTCACATTGGCTATAACCTTCTAACAAAATCTTTTAATCCCATAATAAACTTTATCAAATGAAAAGCCTCAGACCTGTCTTCAAGGTCAGACTATCACACATTCTGTTATATAATTCTTTATTTTAGGATATACTTTTTAGGTCATCTGGAATAATTACATTTGAACTTGGTTAAACCAATTATCATATTTACTCGAATTTAACTGCATGTCTTCCTCAGTAAATAAAGCTAAAACTACTGTAATAAAACAGCATAACGGCCATGTTTAAAAGGTCTTTATTTTGTGGAGGCGTTATCAAACGTTAGAAAATCATGTGTACTGTATGATAAGATGACGTTATTCGTAACGTCATATCACAGATATATATATATATATATTTATTTATAATTCGAGTATAGTGATAAGAATTAAAATCGTTTTAGAGTCAAATACAGCGGTAACGGTTGACGTTGAGTAATACGAATAAGAATATAATATGATAAAATATGATATAGATCAGGCACATCGATTCCTGTCACACAGGAGGTAACACTTCCATATAGTGACGGTGAACCGTTTGGTCTAATCAGTTCCTGATAACGTCTTCATAAAACAGTATAGTCGTAAAATGGCTTTCTCCCACGTTCGACTCAGTTTTATAATATTTGTTATGCTGTCTATGTTAGGTTGTGTTAGTAGTGATGAGAATCCTGACAAGAGGATTTTTTTAAGTGACCCTAGCTACGTTCAACAGCAAATGACCTGCCTCCAATCAGAACTGCAGATGCTGCAGACCATTGTACAGTCACACACCATACAAATTACTACAGATGAGCAACAGCTGTCATATTCAATACTGATTAGTAGTTCTATAATCATATTGTTCATTAGTGTTGATGAAAATGTCTGCAAATGAGGAAATAAAGCAATAAGTTTTTAAAAGGAAAGGTGTGAGGAAATCTTGGAGTTTTAAGACAAGTATTTACAGCATCATTTTAATAAGGGTAGTATACATTTGTATGTCACTTTATAGGCCACTTATATGCCATTTGATTTTAAAATAACATCATCTCGTTCGAATGCTTAACCGCAATTATTATATCATTATATTAAAACAAAGGTGTTTAATGATTTCCAATTTCGATTCCCTTTTTCAGCAATGCTTAACCTTTATTTAAGTAAAAGTATTATACCTTGTTTAAAAATATTTTAACAGTTTTAAAAGAAAATCTTCCTCTCGCTTTCTTCCCTTTAACATACATCGTTGCCTATCAAGTATCTTCAGGTACTTAGCATTGGTCTATTAAGGAAATTATGACATGTAAATCGTGACAATGGCGCCTTTCGTTCCGTTCCCTATCAAATAATTGTGCGTTTTTCAGCAGAAATCTATATCCCCTACCGTTTGTGTGTTTGTTTTTCCCCCTTTGATATTCTTTAATCCTACTTATCAAAGCTTGCTTAGATTAATAGCAAATTACATTTAGTGTTGTTTGAACATTGGGTAAGTGATATAACTGGTATTGAGAAAAACACTTTGATTTACCGAATTAGTTTCTGTTTGATGAACAGAAAATGCTGTAATACTGACCCTTATCGATTGTTAAAGGGTACATTAGTACATTGCACCTACGTTGTATTTTGCTTTTCCTGTTGGCTAATTTTACATCTGACAATATACAGCCTATAAATGTTTGTTTCTGAAAGGTTTTACAAAATTTTTTCACTAGTCTTTTTAAGAAAATAAATTCGGATCGATATATTAAGAATCGACCGACAACCTGTATATGCCAATGGAAAATACTTCCTTTATGCTATTTGTTAAGAGTTTCAACAAGATTCAATACTTTAAGAAAATATCCTAAGAAAGAATCGGAATGCATAACCAGTTTGCAATTTCACTCCATTTGACTCTTTACACCGAATATCCAAGGTGTGAATTTATAATTATATAGAAAATTGAAGCTGCTGTCATTTGAAATTAAAAGCACAAAGAGTTAACTGGGAAAATTTAAGCCACATTCGTTGATATAGAACCCGATGGTCAGTTACTATTATTAGTCATTTTGGTTATTTGAATTGTCAGTGACACCAAACATTTATTCCTATGAATTTGAGTATTCGGAGTACAAATAATATGCTCTAAACTTCAAACATTTTGTATGTTGTTATTCCAATGACGTTAAAGGTCTCTCCAAGCATTTACGGGTCATAGTGATAGTAATAGACGAGTGCTTTCCTAGTAAAGACAATGGAATGTCATAACAACAATAATTAAATGACGTCATCACGCCATCCCAATAACGTATATCAACGATGCCAAGCAGTTTGATAGCAACATTGCACGTAAAGAAACACAAAAGTAGAAGAGAATCATAGTCATCCCTTGAGGATGAGATGGGGAAATCTTTTTTGCCAAAAATATGAAATTGTTTCTCTCAGGTTAAATCTCGTTTTTATTTTAACAAATAACATACCTAAAAATTCTTGAAAATAATACACGATTTATAATCTTTAATAGAAAAAATATGTTATAACGTATAAGAATAATACCCAACACAATCATTTATTCTAGAATGTCTTACAATTTATATTGAACTATAGACTGTCCGTCCTTGTTCAAAGTGTAATTTTGCCCATCTTTCAAAATATTGTGTATATAAACACCTATAAAGTTATATTTATAATTCCCGTTAATTGTAATCAATGGAAATCGTCAATCTTTTCGCTCATCAGTCATAATATGTAGCAATAATGAGCCATTTGTCGTGAGTGTTATATATTTCTATCCGTTGTACAACAACCATTTATCAACATCATCACGGAAATTGACATGGTTTAGTAATCATCAGTAGATAAATATGTAAACTTGTAACATCAATACCATCTGATGGTTACAAACTATAAGCAAGTTCCCTTGTTTAAACAGTTGAAGTTGGACAATAATATGCATGCAAAATGTCATTATGATGTTTTGTTATTTTTTCGTATTAATGATATCCGACATTAACAACACTGTAAAATGTATTTTCGAAGGGCCCGATTTTTGTAGGTTTTGTCTTTAAACTTTAAACTCACTGATAACGTTACTTGCTCCAGGATATAAATGAAGAGTGAGTCTACAAGTTCAGAGTAGATGAGCATGAATGGCCAAGTTCTTTACAGATTCTGACTTCAGCTAGGATAAGGAAACACTGACCTAGTTTTGCTCAACAAATGTTTCAATGAATGATAAGGCCTTTCAGTTCTCCTTTATCTTTAAACCAAAACGGACATCCTTTAGTAGATAATGCAATCTATGAAAATTGTTTTGGAAGGAGATATGTCATAGGGAAAATGTGACTAAGAAAATGTATGTAGTGTAAGATAAATGCCAGAATTCGTCTAATATGCGAAAATGAAGTGTAAATCAAACATACAATTCTACTTTGGTATGCGGCTTACAAGAGTGAGTGGTGGGGGAAAATTACAACGTAAGAATTATTCAGATAAACACGGAGACTCTTAAAAAGTTTATATAATGTATAAGAAAAATGAGATAAGGTTTCCTAGAAAATCGCGATAATGGGAACAGGTCATTGAATACCAAATCAACTTTGATATGTAAACACAGTAGTTTTGGGAATGCAGATATGTGGTTATGCAGAAGTGAATAATTCACAATAGTGAAATTATCTCCCTTATTATTCATATATTTTTCAGATTTCTGCTAAGGTTCATTTTGAGAAAACAACGAGTCACTTGCGGGGGTACCTTGATCCTTTCACCTATACTTTAATCTGAAGGCTATTTTTCAGGTTGATTTGCAACATAAAACTGCTATTCAGTCACATGATTATCCATTGTCTTGAACAATGTAGATTAATGCTTCCGAATGTTATTAGTCCAAACGTCATTTATGTTGATAATGTTTGTTCATCTACGGTGTGACCTTTTTCTATGACACATTTACCACACTTCAAAAGTAAATAAGTAATGGTGATTTCGTATTCGTTGTCTTCAATATTGCTCTTTCAGGAGAAAGTTGAACGTATAAAAGATTTGACATTTTCATCACATCACAGAAGATCCTAAATTTAATACGTGTCATTGTTAATGTTATGCATTTCATATCTATCCAACATTTTAGATGCTTCGATTG